TCATCCTCCGCCAGCAATAATGCTACCTCAAGTCACGATACATCTTCATGGCACCTAGATGAATAGAATACTGAGAACTGTATGCCTGCTCTAGAATCGTTTTCCTAAGTCCATCTGCATTAGGAACACATAGACGATCCTGGAGTCACAGAGCACCGTCTACGCCAATAGTAACTTCCTTGGCACCATCCCATAGTATTGTTTCTCGAAGAACCATTAAGTGTAGATCATCATACTGGCGAGCCTTGATCTGCTCAAATAGTGAAGATTGGGCCAAAGCACATGCAAGAACTCGGCTGGGCTCTGAAATATCTAGCCTCACAAGTCTGTTAGCCAAGGACCAAATATCCAAAGCTAATGGCCTCTCCTCTGCTGAAATGAAAGCCAAACTACCCATACTCTCCACCTTTCTACTCAAGGCATATGCAACTACATTTGCTTTGCCCGGATTATATAAGATAATAATATCATAATATTTTAGTAACTCAAGCCACATGCACTGTCTCAAATTTAGGTCCCTCTGCTTGAACAAATGCTGTAAACTACGATAATGCCTCCAAATCTTAATAGCGTGAACAATTGCAGCTAACTACAGATCATGCACCGGGTAATTATTCTCATGGGGATTCGGCTGACGTGAATCATATGCAATAACTTGGCCCTCCTGCATCAATACACAACCCAAACCAATGCGTGAAGTGTCACAATACACTGTATACATCCCCGATCCGGAAGGCACACTAACACTGGTGTTGTAGTCAATGTTGTCTTGAGCTTCTGAAAGCTCACCTCACAATCATCAGACCATCAGAACGGAGCATCCTTCTGGGTTAATTTGGTCAAAGGTCACCGAAGTGGGACGATGCCAATTCTGAACTGCCTCGATCTTTTTGGGATCAACTTTAATGCCCTCTCCTGATACAATATGCCCCAAAAATGCCATAGAATTTATCCAAAACTCATATTTGGAGAACTTAGCCTATAGCTTTTGTTCCTGCAAGGTCTGTAGCACCACTCTCATATGTTGCTCGTGCTCTTCCTTACTGCGCGAGTAAATCAAAATGTCATCAATGAAAATAATGACAAATGAACGCCGCCGGGGCATTAGTCAAACCAAAAGACATCACCAAAAATTCATAATGACCATATCTAGTCCGGAACATCCGAATCCCGAATCTTTAATTGATGGTACCCTGACCTCAAGTCGATCTTAGAAAACACACTAGCACCCTGAAACTAGTCAAATAGATCATCAATATGTGGCAACGAGTACTTGTTCTTACTAGTGACTTTGTTCAATTGGTGATAATCAATACACATTCGCATAGTTCCATCTTTTTTCTTCATAAATAATACCGATGCACCCCAAGGTGATACACTCGGTCTAACGAACCCTTTGGCTAGTAACTCCTCAAGTTGTTCTTTCAATTCTTTCAATTTTTTCGGAGCAATGTGATACGGTGGGATAGATATAGGCTGGGTACCCGGAGCCAAGTCAATACAAAAATCAATATCACGATCTGGTGGCATGCCCAGAAGATCTGAAGGAAATACATCGGAGAACTCCCAAACTACAGGCACTAAATCAATAGTCAGAGTCTCTGCAGTAGTATCCCGAACATAGGCTAGATAAGCCAAACAATCCTTCTCGATAATGTGTCGAGCTTTTAGAAAGGAAATAACCTAATTAGATGAGCTGACAGACGAATCCTTCCACTCCAACCTAGGAAATTCCGCCATTGCCAAAGTAACAGTCTTAGTATGGCAATTTAGGACGACATGATATGGGGATAGCCAGTCCATGCCTAGGATAATCTCGAAGTCGGTCATATCAAGCAGCAGAAGATCTGCTCTAGTATCATAACCACATAATGTAATAACACAGGACCGATAGATTTGATCCACAACAACAGAATCGCCCACATGAGTGGACACATAAACAAGAGTACTCAAGGACTCGTGAGAAACATNCCTACCCACCCGCCCTCCACCTTTGGGTGGTCGGACGATTGGCAACTGTTGTGGTAATCATAGACTGCTGACCCTGCTGCACTGATCTACCCCGAAGCTTGGGGCAGAATCTCTGCATGTGATTGAAATCCCCGCACTCGTAACAACTTCTCGATGCAATGGGCTGCTGACTAGAAGTCTGGCCCCGGTGACCTGAATACCCACTGGAAGAACCCTGAATAGCTGGTGAGCGATAAGAACTTTCTGGAATAGCACTAAAATAAGGTCGCACTAGGGCACCCCGAGGAGGCAGTGGGGCTGGATATCGGGGCCTGCTGGACTGCCCTCTCACGAACTTACCTCTACCCCAGACGGAGTACCTATGAACTCTCTAGAATATCTAAACCGCTTATCCCTCATAACCTGCTCTTGGCTATGTTGACGCACACCCTCAATCCTTCGGGCTATCTCCACGACCAACTCATAAGAAGTCCCCATCTCAACCTCTCAGGCCATAGTGGCCTAAATGCTAGTGTGTAAACCCGTCACAAACCTCTGCACTCTCTCTGCATCAGTAGGGAGTATCATAAGTGCATGGAGAGATAACTCAGAGAACCTCGTCTCATAATCGGTCACTGACATCTGACCCTACTGGAGCTGCTCAAACTGGAACCGCAACTCTTCCCTCTGGGAGGGTGGAATATACCTGTCCAGAAAAATACAGGTGAACTTGTCCTAAGTCATGGGAGGAGAATCTGCTGGTCTGCCAAAAGATAAAACTTCCACAATCTACGGGCTCTGCCCTCTAGTTGAAAAGTAGCAATGTCTGCCCCATGAGACTCCAATATCCTCAAGTTGTGAAGTCTATCCCTGCACTGATCAATGAAATTCTGGGGATCCTCGTGTCGCTCACCCCCAAAGACAGGAGGATGTAGTCTAGTCCATCTGTCCAATAGCTTCTGCGGCTCGGTGGACGCAGCTGGTCTGGGCTCAGGTGTAGCTGCTACCACTGGCTGGACTCCACCCACGTGTAGTACACCCTAGGTCTGATATACAACAGTTGCCTGCCCATGAGTCTGTGCGGTAGGGGACTGTGCTCCCCCGCCCGCCTGAGATGTGGCTGGGTCTGCCAAAAATAAAATGGCTTGAGTCATAGTGTCCATGAATCGCAGCATATGCCCCATGACCTCCTGGAATCCCGGTGCAGACGTGAAATCCACCGGAGCTGGCTCTGCTACGGGCAACTCGCCATGTTTCTCAATAATAGGATCATCTGCTGGACCTACTGGTGGCATAACTGGAACAACTCTGCGACGTCCTCATCCCCTACCATGGGCTAGAGCCCTCCCTTGGCCTCTGCCTCGGCCTCTAACAATAGGGGGAGTAGCTCTTCCCTGGTCTGGAACTTCATTAGAGCGCGTTCTCACCATCTGTGAGAGAATAAGAGAGATACTTAATACTACATTATTTGCACGATGGGAGATGGAGAAAGGTAGTTTTCCTAACACCCTATAGCCTCTCGAAGATGCGTACAGACGTCTCTTTACCGATCCGCAAGACTCTATTAGGCCTATTCATAACTTGTGAGACCTACGTGAACCTAGTGCTCTGGTACCATGTTGTCACGACCCAAATTCACCTATAGGTCGTGATGGCGCCCAACATCCTAGCTAGGCAAGCCAACTAATGATTCAAACCTATATTTATTTCTTTAAAGATTATCCGAGTAATCAAACTCTTCTAAATTTCAAAAATTAAGAAAAATAAGAGAAATAAAATAAATTAAAACCCAAGTAAAATAATTAAATCCAAAAATTCTACCCGTGTGTGTGCCAAGACCTGGTGTCATAAGTGTATGAGCATCTAGTAGATTATACAAGGATTCTAAATAATGTCTGAAATAAAATAGACAGAATACAAATACAAGAGGACATACAAGGGCTGCAGAACGACTCAAGAAGCAGTTCACCACTAAGTCTCGGGGTATCTGGGGTATGCTCTGGTAGGTCCTCTGATAGTACCTATCCCAGACCCTGCACAAGCGTAGCATGAGTACGTAAATAACGTGTACCCAGTAAGTATCAAGCCAAATCTCATAGAAGTAGTGACGAGAGGTCGACTTTAACACTCACTATGGGTCAATAATATTACAAGAGAAATATAACTAATTAAACATGATTTTTAGGTAAACAACAATAATTTTTTTAACAAGCAGAAATAATTAATTCATTAAATTCAATAATTTATAATTTATCAATTAGCTTCACTAGCTGCAATTTAAAATATCAAAGTATCGTGTAATTATTATTATTAGCAATGATTTCTGCGTACGACCCGATCCAGAGTGTAATCTAATTACAATATAATATAATTTACAATATAATTCAAGTAATCTAATTAAATAAAAGGAGCAATTATCACAAGTAATTCATGATTTGAGTCCTAAACTACCTGCACATAGCATAATTAGTAGCTACGCACAGACTCTCGTTACCTCGTGTGTACGTAGCCCCCACAATTAGCAACAAATATTAATATAAATCACCTATGGGGTAAATTCCCTCTTACAAGGTTAGGCAAGAGACTTACCTTGTCTCAAAGCTCACTTCCCGATCACAATGTCGCATAAAATCTCAATTCGGTGCCGAAAAATTTGAAACTATCCAAAAGTTATATAAAATAATTAATACATGCTCAATAATTCGAAATTAGACTATTAAATAAATTACCCTATCCAAAATGGTAAATTCCTAAAATTTATCCCGGGCCCACGTGCTCGGATTCCAAAAATATTTGGAGGAAATCGTTACCCATAATCTCAAGAACTCAAATATACAATTTCCATCTGATTCCATAACATTTTTGTGGTTAAAATCTCATTTTTTATACAAATCTAGGTTTTTTCTCTAACCCTTGATTTTCACAATTTACAGGTTATAATCTATTTATTTAACTTAAAATGTATAGAATTAACTTACCTTCAAGTTGCTAGTTGAAATCCCCTCTCAAAAAGCTCCAAAATCGCCCAAGAATGGAGAGAATTGGGCAAAATGGTTGTTTTTCCATTCTTTAAGGGTTCTGCCACACCGCCCACTTTGATCAAGGTAATAAGAAGTTTCCTTGGGAATGTCGGTTTCTATAGGCGATTTATAAAGGAATTCTCTAAAATTGCTAATCCCTTATGTAAACTACTTGAAAATGATCACCTCTTTGTATTGCTTTATGATTGCACGTTAGCATTTGAGGAGTTGAAGAGACTGGTGACTGCACCAATTATTGTTGCACCCGACTGGGAGCAACCTTTTGAGCTAATGTATGATGCGAGTGACTATGCTATAGGAGCAGTTTTGGGGCAGCGAAAGGACAAAATTGTGCATCTAATCTACTATGCAAGTAGAATGCTAAGTGGTGCACTACTCAATTATACCGTGACTGAGAAGAGATATTGGTTGTGGTGTTTGCAATTGACAAATTTATGTCTTATTTGATAGGTTCAAAAGTGATTGTTTATACTGACCATGCAAAAATTAGGTACCTGAAAGCGAAGAAGGAGTCCAAGCCACGCTTGATCTATTGGGTCCTTTTGCTACAAGAGTTCGATTTGGAGATCCACAATAGGAAAGGAACAGAGAACCAAGTGGCAGACCACCTTTCAAGGTTGGAGGGAGCTGAAAAGAAAGTAAAGGTTGAAGACATAACTGAGACATTCCCGGATGAACAATTACTAGCAGTGACAATGGAGGAGATATATTGGTATGCGGATATTGCTAAGTATTTGGAAAATAGTATTATACCCTATGAACTCTCTTCGATCCAAAAGAAAAGGTCCTTTCATGATTGAGGGTCTTATTATTGGGATGACCCTCTACGTATTTAAAATCTGTGTGGATAACATGATCCGGAGGTGTATCCTTGAGAAAGATCAATCTTCTATTTTGCATGCCTGTCACGCTTCACCATATAGTTGGCACTTTGGAGGAATTAGGACAACTGCAAAAGTGTTGGAGTTGGGTTTGTATTGGAAGACTCTATTCAGGGATGCCCATGACTGGGTGAAAAGTTGTGATAAAAGCCAAAGAACCGGCAATATATCTCTCCATCATGAGATGCTGATGACTACAATTCAAGAGGTGGAAGTGTTTGACGTATGGGGGATTGATTTTTTGGGACCATTTATCAGCTCGTATGGTAACAAGTACATATTGGTAGCATTTGACTATGTCTCCAAATGGATTGAAGTTGTGGCTCTTCTAACAAATGATGCAAAAGGAGTAATAGGATTTTCAAGGAAAAATATTTTCACACGATTTGGCACTCCGAGAACTATAATCAGTGATAGTGGAACTTATTTCTGTAATAGAGCTTTTGCAAGGCTACTAGAAAAGTATGGAGTTCCCCATAAGGTTGCCACGCCTTACCACCTGCAAATGAGCGGGCAAGTGGAAGTGTCCAACAGGGAAATCAAAAGTGTCCTAACCAAGACAGTGAATGCGACTCGGACTGATTGGACAAGGAAGTTGGATGATACATTATGGGCTTACCGTACATCATTTAAAACTCCAATATTTATGTCTCCGTAAAAGTTGGTATTTGGAAAAACCTGCCATCTTTCGGTAGAGTTTGAGCATAAAGCTTTATGGGCATTGCGGCAATTGAATTTGGATATGGAAACCGTGGGGAAAAGTAGAGTTACAGAGTTACATGAACTCGAGGAGTTTCGGTTCCAAGCATTCTAGAGTACAAGATTGTATAAGGACAGGATGAAAATGATGCACGATAAACAAATTCTAGATAGGAACTTCAAACCCGGAGATCTGGTATTGTTATACAACTCGAGATTGAGATTATTTTTGGGTAAGCTGGAATCCAGATGGTCGGGATCATTTAGAGTTGTGCAAGTGTTCTCAAGTGGAGATGTACAAATTGAGTCCGAAGGTAGAACTAACAGGTTTAAAGTGAATGGGCAAAGGTTGAAACACTACCTTGGAATGATTGAATAAAAAGGAGAAAAAAGTGTGATGTACTTGAAAGAGCCCCAATATGTGAGCGAAACGGAATCCTGAAAGCTTTCGTCGTGCCACGACGTGAAATAAGGCGTTGCATGAGAGGAAATCCACGACTTTAAGTCATTATTAGTATTTTATTTCATTATTTTTATTTTTCGGTAAGGGTAAATTAATTTTAAATGGTTAGTTTTATTTCTCTTGCAAGATTAATATACGGTTACGAAGTTCATGGAGCAAATAAGGTCACCTTAGAAGGTATTAGCTTGAAAGTTTCATGAATTGTTGTAACTGCTAAAAAAAAATGCTTAATAGTGTGCTAAGAGAATATAGCACAGGGATAGTACAACAAAGTGGAATTTTTCTTCCCTTAAATGTGGTAGCACAATAAGGTGAAAATTTTTCTTCCCTTAACACACTGTTAAGAGACTATAGCACAGGGATAGCACAACAGGTAAGTAATTTTTTTTTCTAAGTCTAAAAAACGCAGCCCACCCTCTCAATTAAATCCTTCTTCTTAATTTTCCTCCTCCCCAATTTGAAAATCACACCCCTAGCTACATACTCTCCCTCGTTCTCTCGCCCCGTTACTTTCCCCTCATTGCTGCTGCTCCGACTAGTGACCACCACTATCCAGCGACCTGGTAAATTGTTCTTTCTCTCCTCTTATCTTTTCTTTCCCTCTCCTCTCTTCTCTTTTCTCTCTCTCCCTACTCTATTACCCTTTTTCCGCCGCCGCACACCTACCCCGTCACGCCCAAAATTCTAGGGTTCGCCGTTATTGGTCGGACTCTAGCTTATGTTCTTCTACCCCAATTCCACCACCCCATATTGATAGTTTTGTATAATATTTTCTAGCCCTAGGAAAGAAAAAAAAAGGAGTTGTGCTTTAATTGTGCTAAGTGTCTCTATACATAAGTATAGTTCAACATGGGATTGAAGCTGATTGGTGTTGCGTAATTGTCGACGACTATTCTCATCGCTTTTAGGAGGGCAATAACCCCCATTAATTTTACAAGGTGCATGTTCTGAGTTAAGCATACCAAATGTTTGATAATCTGCCTCAACAACGAATAGTTTTCGCGAAGTCTGAGCAGCGAGCCATCTTTTGGAGGTCGTTATGTGTTAATTGGATTGGGTGAAACTCTTTTTGGATTTTTTTAGATTTCCACTAATATTCTTGTATTGTTAACTCGTTTGAGGTTGAGTGAAGTTGGAGTACTCGAAGTACTTGATCGATTTTTAATGCTACGACGCCACTCTGGCATGTTCGTAGATTATTCTGAATGCTGCAACACCTTTGTGTGATCACCTTGAGTTTGCTTCTTTTGGTAACATAATGTTGTCATGGCCCCAAGTACTACGTGCGGAATGGGTAGGTCTACTCGATTTTGTTTGAGGGAAAGTCTAAGTACCCATTTGATTGTTTTTGTTATTAGATTATGTGTGTGCCGGAGAAGCTACCATGCATTATTCTATACTGCAAGCTTCGTTAAATTAAGAAAGTCTGAGTACTTAATTATTAGCTTACGTTCGTCGTAACTGTTTACTTGAATAAAGTAATGTGCGACTTTGAGAATATTCATCTCTTAGACTCTACTTCTTATATTTGTTTATGCAGCTGGCACTAAATATTACTCGCTTTACAGATAACATTATGGTACCCAAACCAAAGGCAAAATCACAACCTTTATCCTCTCAGGATGCACCTAAGTCCGAAAAAAAAGAATCAGCTATCTGCGGAAAAAGAGGTAGTTGGATAGCGGCACGAAAAAAAATAAAAGGTTCATGTGCCACTACGGTTTGTCAATGATGAGGCAACAAAGATTTTTGAAATGGTTAAGAGGAAGAAGTACATGGCAGAAAGACTTGTAGATAAAGAAATATTGAAGAAGAATTACAAGCTAGTAGGTGACGCCAACATCACAATGGTTCAGAAATTATATGCCAATTGGGTATATTGGAAGAGTGGAGTATATAAGGTGAAAGAGGTTGACATTCACATAACTCCGGTGGCCTTTAATGAATTTTTAGGACTCTCCAACCCAGATGCTGACTTCAGTTGGAAAAAGCAGTGTGACTATGCTAGAATTAGAGAAGTTTTATGTGATGGCAACAAGCAGGCTAAGTGGAAGCGAAGGGTCGGAGTCGACACCATGTGCTATCGTACAGGTATTTGACCAAAAGGCTTGAGTTTATTGCTTTTTATTTGAACATTAACATTATTTTGCATATATATACCTATTGTATATAAACATTAATTGTTGACTCTCTTTTTGGGTATACTTTAGGGATCTGCTAAGAACCTACCACTCTCTTGTACGGCCTTGAGCTTAGGCCCAAGTTTGGTAAGACCAATTTTATTTAATTATGTTTTTGTGAATAAGTAGCCAACATGATGTGTCTCACAAATATACATGAATTCAATGATCTGGCAGTGCTTCTTCCCTCAGTATTGCACACCACTTTTCATCGTCAACTCGGCCTATGATTCTTGGCACGTTTGAAGATCTATTTCCATGGTTATCAAATTATTTTTTATTTTCTGGGACAAAAGAAAAATGTCTGATTTGTATGGATTATGGAATAACTTCGACATTAGCAATACCGCTAAAACACTATATGCAGTATTCTACACCACGTGTATGCAGTATTCTACCCAAAATATTCCTTTTTGGCATATCCGCTAAGAGTATAATTGTGGTACCATGCCATCCACTATTAGTAAAGTGACAATATCAGTATGCCTCGTTGCAATTTCTGTACCAAATTGTATTCAATCTCTATATGCTTCACTTTATTTCTTTTCGTTTCCCTGCAAATTCTAAATGGTTTTGCCTTTTTGATTCTTCAAAATTAGATTAACAACAATTTGGTTCCTCAAGTTGTTGATCTTGACAATGAGTGGCTATATTGCAAGCATGATATAAATGTATGCTCACCAAGTCAAATCCAAACTCTCCAAGGTCAGTTTCTTTTTTATTTTTATATTTTTTTGGGGGGGAGGGGGGTTCTCTTTTAATCCGATTGATATGACAATTACCATTTCTTACTTGGCTTTTGAGTTTTTTTTTTGTTTCAGATTTCAGGTTTACATTTTTTGAGGCATTGAACGAACTAAGACCAAGTATATCAAAAGGGCAATTCCCACCATGGCATTGAAATACAAAGTTACTAGTCCTCCAGAAACTCTCCAACGTTAGCTAACAAGGTCATTTTTATTTCTTTTTTCTTTAATGTAATTTTCAGCTTTATTTATTGTTGGATTTTTTAAGCTTATTTTAGCTTAAAAGAGGGTGAATGGGAAACGGAGGGCAAAATAAAATTTTGATTTTCCTTCCTTGGCAAAGGGACATTGTCCCATATTGGAGGAGGAAAAGAATTTTGATGGGTATATATACAATTGCTCTTCTTCTAGCTCTTAAAAAGTTAAGAAGAAAGCAAGTCTCGCGCCGTCATCGTCGCTCGCTCGGCTCGGTTTCGGCTTCGGTAACTATAATAAAGCAACAGTAAGTGTGATTTGTTGCCGCCATTTGTGTTCGTTAAAACACTGGGGTTTGAAGTAACGCTACGCCAGTATGTCATCCGTTCTATCGTGGGACGAAATAATCCATAACCTCTGGTACTAGGAGGGGATTAAGTTTCTTAAGCATATACTGTGAATTCAGTGGGCTCGGATTAATTTTTACTTCTTCTATATTTCTGTCTATACGTTATTTTCTTCTCCAGAATTATTTTACAAATATAGTATAATAACAAGCTTAAGGAACTTAACCATTTTCTATATTTGTATTACACTTACTGTTCTAGAGACTAAAACCTTCGTGGTTTTCTACTCCCGTTTTGGAGATTAAAGTCGTCGTGGTTTTCTACTCCATTTGTGTACTTTAACGTATATTCTGTTTTGGTTTACTATTTATTATTCGGAGATTAAAATCCTAGGAATTTTGTACTCCGTTGAAGATTAAAATCTACGTAATTTTCTACTCCAGTTTTATTCCGTTTGAAGATATAAAAACTTTGCCGTTTATTAAAAGTTTATTTGTGTCATTCTTTTACAGAAATGACGAATGAGAACGGAAACCATGTTGTTCCTATGGTGACTGCCAATGCATCGACAAGCCGAACAACTCCGGCATTGGTACCGACACCGGCAGAAAAGCCCGAAAATTTTTTGAGATTGATTTCAAGCGGTGGCAGCAGAAGATGTTCTTTTATTTGACGATTTTAAGTCTACAGAAGTTCATTAAGGAAGATGTTCCTATTCTACCCGACAAAACTCCAGACAATGAACGCTTTCTCGTGACTGAGGTGTGGAAACATTCTGATTTTCTGTGCAAGAATTACATTCTTAGCAGACTGGAGGATGATCTGTATAACGTCTATAGTAATGTGGAGACGTCAAAAAACCTGTGGATTGAGCTTGAAAAGAAATACAAAACTGAAGATGCCGGTTTGAAGAAATTTGTTGCCGCTAAATATTTGGACTATAAAATGGTAGATAGCAAGTTTGTTATTACCTAAGTCCAGAAATTGCAAGTGATTATTCACGATCTCCTTGCTGAAGGTATAAGTCG